GGAACACCCTTCCATTTCTCCTCTCCCTGTCTGGCCTGAAGACCTCTGGTCCCTTCAGACTCCTGCCTCAGTCCCTCTTGGCCAGGCAGTTTATCTCCTGGCCACATGTCATCCAGGAACACCCTTCCCCTTGTTGTGAACTTCATATCTGCAAACACTCATGTTGATTCTATTTCTGTGTGAGAGAGAGACAGACAGGGTCCCTTGTAGCCCAGGCTGGCCTCCAACTTCACATGTAACTGAGGATAACCTTGAGCTCCCAACCCTCCTGCCTCTACATCTCAAGGATTACAGGCAAGTGCTACTACATCCAGCCTTCATGTTGACTTTTGACGTTTTGGGGTTTTTGTTTTATTTTTGTTTTTTGCATTTTCTGTCCCTTGTGTTCCAGCAGATCATGGATAACAGAGGATTTTTGATTGTGCCCCCTGTTCCTGAAGGCCTTTCTTGGAGTCCCAGGTACCTGGGACAGCTCACACAGTAAACGCATGGTCACCCTAAACTCAATAGGTACATTGTGAACCACTGAAAACAGGTTCCTGCCATCACAGGCCATGTGGGCTCTAGGACTGGTCATGCTGGCTCCTCGTGGATCACCAACGAGCTGAGCTTTCATTTCTAGCAAGCTGGGTACCCAACCGCCCCCCCAGAGGCCTCTCTGAACCTGTACACCTGGAGGGGGCTGTCCTTAGCTCTGTACACCTGCAGGGGGCTGTCCTTAGCTCTGCATACATGGAGGGGGCTGTCCTTAGCTCTGTACACCTGGAGGGGGCTGTCCTTAGCTCTGTACACCTGCAGGGGGCTGTCCTTAGCTCTGTACACCTGGAGGGGGCTGTCCTTAGCTCTGTACACCTGCAGGGGGCTGTCCTTAGCTCTGCATACATGGAGGGGGCTGTCCTTAGCTCTGTACACCTGGAGGGGGCTGTCCTTAGCTCTGTACACCTGGAGGGGGCTGTCCTTAGCTCTGTACACCTGGAGGGGGCTGTCCTTAGCTCTGCATACATGGAGGGGGCTGTCCTTAGCTCTGTACACCTGGAGGGGGCTGTCCTTAGCTCTGTACACCTGGAGGGGCTGTCCTTAGCTCTGTACACCTGGAGGGGGCTGTCCTTAGCTCTGCATATATGGAGGGTGCTGTCCTTAGCTCTGTACACCTGCAGGGGGCTGTCCTTAGCTCTGCATACATGGAGGGGGCTGTCCTTAGCTCTGTACACCTGGAGGGGGCTGTCCTTAGCTCTGTACACCTGGAGGGGGCTGTCCTTAGCTCTGTACACCTGGAGGGGCTGTCCTTAGCTCTGTACACCTGGAGGGGGCTGTCCTTAGCTCTGCATATATGGAGGGTGCTGTCCTTAGCTCTGTACACCTGCAGGGGGCTGTCCTTAGCTCTGTACACCTGGAGGGGGCTATCCTTAGCTCTGTACACCTGGAGGGGGCTGTCCTTAGCTCTGCATACATGGAGGGGGCTGTCCTTAGCTCTGTACACCTGGAGGGGGCTGTCCTTAGCTCTGTACACCTGCAGGGGGCTGTCCTTAGCTCTGTACACCTGGAGGGGGCTGTCCTTAGCTCTGTACACCTGGAGGGGGCTGTCCTTAGCTCTGCATACATGGAGGGGGCTGTCCTTAGCTCTGTACACCTGGAGGGGGCTGTCCTTAGCTCTGTACACCTGCAGGGGGCTGTCCTTAGCTCTGCATACATGGAGGGGGCTGTCCTTAGCTCTGTACACCTGGAGGGGGCTGTCCTTAGCTCTGTACACCTGGAGGGGGCTGTCCTTAGCTCTGTACACCTGCAGGGGGCTGTCCTTAGCTCTGCTCAGCCCACAGCGCGTCCTATGGTGCATGAAAGTCCTACGCTCGTCACACAAATATTCCTGTGCCGCCGTGCTTATCCCACCAAGACCTCACTCTCCTTGGCACATGTTCTCTTACCTTCTAGAACATTCCTATGCCTTGGTTTCTCCCTCCATATCCAAGTGTCCAAAACCCTGGAGTGGGGTGCAGAACAGACAGGAGAAAGCTACAGTTGCTACCTGGGGTCCTGACCTTGACCTCTGGAGCTCTCTGCAAAGAACCAGCCTGTGTGCCTGGAGGTGAAAGGCCATGACTGAAGAAGACCAAGGTCTCCCAGAGGGAGGAAGGTCAAGGGGCACAAATGCTGTGTCACATGGGTGGGATTGTGCGGTTTGCTGTGTGGCCCCGGGGAAATTACACACTCTCTCTGAAGTTGTCACTTCATCCCTCATGAGCTCTTCACACAATTTCCCTTGTGTAAATCACAGGAGCTACCCTCAGTGAAGTACCTTGGGTACCCCCTCAGAAGAGAACAGGCCTCCTAGGGACATCAACCAAACGCGGCAGGATACGCTCCAATAGTGCCAGGCTAGATGACAGCAGGGTCTCATTGTGTCCCGGGTGGCCTCCAATGCAGTATATGGTCAGGGTTAACCTTGAACTCCTGATCCTCCTGCCTCTCCCCTTTCAGTACTAGGATTACAGGGGTATGCTACCATGCCTGGTTCATGCAGTGATGGGCCTAGAACCCAGGGCTTTGTGCATCCTGGGCAATCACTCTATCGACTGAACCACATCCCTAGACCGCTGTTATTTTTTGAGACAGGGTCTCTCCTGTTGCCCAGGCTGGCCTTGAACCCACAATGTCCTGGTTGTGTCTCCTGGGTACTGGGATCGATTGTATCACCTGCCCCGGCTTGCTCTTGACACTTGTGGGAGACGGACATCTACCTGGCTCCTTTGAGTGCAATGGGCTCACATGTGTCACCCTTTGTATGCATGTTTAAGTACTCGCAGGACAGGGTGAATTGGTCAGCTGCGGTCTGGGCACACAGATATGATGACTAGCAGACTGTTTCCATCGTCCTCACCGTCATCGTCACCCCCTTCAGATAGCCGGGTCCCAGGCCACACCGAGGGCAATGAACAGGACAGCCCCTCCTAGTGTGGGCCCTGTGGGTCTCTCTCCTTGGCACAAGGCCTCCAAACTGATGTCTGACGATAATGCACTGTCACAACGCCCCACCCCAAAGCCATGCAGCTCACCCTGTAGCTGCTCCTCCTGCTCTGATCCCCAGATCATAGCGCAGTATGGGAGAGGAGGCCTAGGAGGACTCCCTGGGCTGGGACAGCCTCTGAGGGGCCCAGTTCCTGGCCAGACCCTGAGCTCCTCCATGGGTTATCTGAGAACCGACCCAGAGGGCTCTAGATGCTTCCAGCCCCAGATGAGTGTGTGTGCTACAGATGCTCTCCCCCACCCACGGCCGTCAGCTCCAGGCCTCTTTATTCCATCTGCATCCTCAACCTCCAATACACACCCTGGCACCCAGGTCCCCTGTGGCCCTCTTATGGAGGAATCGGGAGATCTATCTGTGCCTGAGAGAGAGAGAGACCAGCCGCTAATCATTACACCCTAGATATCATTGTGATAGCCTCAAAGAGGGGCACCCATGCACCCCCATTCCCCTCATTCACACAGAGCCAAGGCCTCCCCACTCAGCCCCTCAGCTATTTCTAACAGAGGGGGCTTTCCCAGACACTCAGCCGAGCCAAGAGTGGAAGACAAACCAGGGGTGATGGCATGCATCCCTAACCTCAGGAAGCTGAGGCAGGAGGAGTGCCCGAGTTAGAGACTAGCCTGGACCACATGGGGAGACCTTGTCACAAAGAGCAAAATAAAAACACAGTAAAAGAACAGGGAGGAAATGTCCAACAATCTCCTATAGTCGTTCCCTCCCCAGAATCTCTGCGGTTGAAGAAAAGCAACCCCTAAAAGCTGCCCATTGGTTTCCACACGTCGTCGGGAAGGCCGGGAAGGCTGGATGTCTCAGCAGACACATCCCAAGGATAGGGACATGCAGAGAACACTAAGTCACCGGAGACCCCCTTTCTCCTGCAAGGACTGGCTGAGGAGCAAGAGAGATGCATTCCAGCCGTCCCTCCACTGACCAGGGCCTGCACCTCAGGCCCTCAGCTGCCCAAGCAAGGCCAAGCCAGTCCCTCTACTCCTGCAGACATCTTCAGTGACCTCCTAGCACCCCTAAAGGCAGACGGAGACCCTAACTCTCTCACAAACCCTTCCCCTGGAAAGGGAAGCCAAACATCTACAGCTGCGCCCAAATCCCGGATGCACCGGGCTGGGTGTCACTCACCCGGAGCTGCTGAAGAGGTGGCAGCGATGGGCGTCCAGGGCTGGAGAACCAGCAGCAGGACCCAGGTCACCAGCATCTCCCAGGGAGAGGGCCCTGGCCGCGAGAGCTTCCCTCCTCAAGAGGCCCAAGGAGTGAGAGCCCCGCAAGAAAGGAGATCCTATAAAAAGGACCCTAGAGGCCTTTGCCTTGGGGCAGGACGGTGTCCGACCCAGGGCGGAGATGACTACGGTTTGGGGTGGGTGACCACAGGGTGTTGGCCAGAGGGCACCCTGTCCAACCCTCCTCCCCAACCCTCCTCCCCTCTAATTCCAGGTGTGTTGACTGCCCCGAGCAACTGTCAAGGAAGCGAGAATCACTGGATGGGAGGGGCAGAGGCGCAGAACAGACCGGAGGTTGAGGTGTTGAGAAGAAAGTAGCCAAGAGTTAGATGCCAAGTAACACAAGGGTGTGGTAACTCCGGAGAGAAGAATGCCTGGGTCCCCAGAGGGACAATCGCTAAGAAGCCGGGCTAGATGACAGAGAAGCTTCCCCGGGGTCCAGCAACCTCCATACTTCTCTTCTTTCCCCATTGCCTCCCTGGAGCTACCCCTTACCATCGCTCTCCTGTGGGGTGGGATGCTGCTACTCTCCTCTAAGATGGCCAGAGTCAGAAATGAGAGAAACCAGTATTCATCGTCCACACGCACGCATGCACGCACACGCGCGCGCGCGCGCGCACACACACACACACACACACACACACGACAAAATAAATGTTAACTTAAAAATAATCAATCTCTTTCCCTCCCTGGCCCAGCTCCAGGGGTCTAATTCCTTTCGGTGAATTCAGCTAATTCCAGCTCTATGCTTCCATGGTCAAGGCAAGAAAGGGCAAGATTGCAAAACTCCGGGGACTCCTCCCACCCACTGCAGACAGAGCCTCCCTGCCCAGCAGTTGCAGAAACTCACTCCCTTCCCAAGATCTGGCAGAGCCCGAGCGATGCCCCCTGGGAGGAAAGGACGATTGCTGCCAGACCTTCCTCATCTCAACATGGGGTCTCAGTTCTTCATCCCGATGGAGGCCCCTGGGGGCGGGGGTGGACAGGAGAAAGACACACGGACAGAGCAGTTTTGTTTATAGTAAGCGGATTTATTGGATTTATATGGGGAACTAGACACTTGCTGACTCCCTGTCCTGGCAAAGGGGGTTGAGGGCTCCAGGCTCAGAGGTTACAGCTGAAAGGTTCGGGCATTACGCTGGTCTGCCCTGTCACCTGGCAGGATGCTCTCAGGCAGCGCTCTGGCCGGCCGGGGGTTCCATGAGTACAGTCTGCACGCAGGTGCAAAGGACCCCTCAAAGGACAGACCCCAGCCCGCTTACTCTCTCTCTCACCTCCTACTCTGCTCTCACACCCTTCCTCTCCTGAACCTTCTCTCTCCCCCTCTCGCTCTCCCGCGCCGAAATAAACTATGGTTGATGTGCTCTCCGCTCTGGTTCCCTCTTGAGCCTTTCTAAATTTCAGCTTAAACAAAAGAACTACAGCGGAGTCCTGGGGACACCAGGGAAGGGCAGGGAAAGAGGAAGAGGCAGTGAGGATGGGAAGGGGAGAGGAGGGGAGGGGAGGGGAGAAGAGAGGAGAGGAGGGGAGGGGAGAGGAGGGGAGGGGAGGGGAGGGGAGGGCTGGGAGATGAGGAGAAGGCTTCGTGTCCCCTCACCCTTGGACAAATCCATACCCCATGCCTGCCCGTAGAAATTCAGCAACCGGCGAAGGGCGGCGAGTTGGTTCTGCGCTCGCTTGGGCCCACCGGATGGATTCCTCCTTGTCCTCTTGGGCTGGAGCCATAGACAGCAGCAGCAGCAGCAGCATTTCATCGAGGTGGAGACGGAGGAGCAGCGCTTCCAGCCCCCGGTGCACCAGAAGATGGAACTTCCTGGGAGAAGTGCCTGGATAAACATGGACCAAAGTCGAGCAGCCGGGCTGAGGCTCACTTTGTGAACTGTGTTGAGCGCTTCACTGATACAAGACAATTAATTCATCTTAAATCAGACCCAGAAGTCCAATGCAGTCTTCTCGAAAGCAGCATTACCTCTTCAAACAATGAACAGCTGTTGCGAAATGGCCAGGGGGGGCTCCCAATTTTCTTTATCATCTTGGGACATCTTGTCGCCTGAGAATGGGCAAAGACCAATTTTTACATATGGGAGTTGACAGTCATGAGTATTTGGTTGTGTTTTTAAAGCTAATCATGTGAAAATAATTGACAGATAAATGAAATTATGAGATGCACATTGCTGTATATGGGACTATGCTTTCTCAAGGTCCCTTAACTGCTTTATATAATTTTGATAGTGGAAGTGGTTTCTATAATTTGGTAGTGGGACCACACAGAGTAAATCTCTTTGCATGGATTAATTTCTGGTTTTCTAGAGAGATCTTTGTCAGAAAAAGTAGCAGTGGGGAAATAACCCGGCACTGTCTAACTGTGAGCTTTCTTATCTTCCGAGTTTGACGATCAGAGCTGAAAAACACTCTATGGGCGTCATACAATCCAGCCTTGTCGGTTGTCTTCCCTTACTTAAATGTCGAATTGAAAACATTTGGTCTCCAGGTAGAATGGGCAGCCTGAGGATCCAGAGGGCTTTAGTTATAAAGGAATTTAGCTCATGAGCATAAGTCTTACTACCAGGCTGCCACAGGAAGAAGTTAACTTACTGTGTATATCAGGCTACAAAACATTCACAGATGTGCCCAAAGAAGTAAAACAATCTAGGCCAGCCAAGAACTAACAGCAGTTTCAGGTAGAGGTGCATGTCTGATGTTAGTCATAAATTCCATTAACTGCATTCTTTCTGTCACTGAAGTAAAAGCTCTGTGAGAGAAAGAAGGAAAGAAAGAAAGAAGGAAAGGAAGAAAGAAAGAAAGAAAGAAAGAAAGAGAGAGAGAGAAAGAAAGAAAGAAAGAAAGAAAGAAAGAAAGAAAGAAAGAAAGGAGAGAGAGAGAGAGACACTCGGCAGCCATCAAGGGTAGAAAAGTGAGTCTCGGGACAGCGGAGCAGGGGTTTGGCGCGCATGAGTTGGGAGCCTATGCCACCCTGACCCTATGAGGACCTAGGAACAGGGATGTGGGAATGAGGTGGGGTTCAGGGCTAGGTGCTGGGATGGAGGGGGAGCAGGTTTGTAGGTACCAGGGTAGAGCTGCAAGGATATAAAGGCAAGGGCATCCTCAGCTACTCGGAGAGTTCGAGCCAGCCTGTGCTTTACAAGACCCTGTCTTTAAAAAGAAAACTGGGAGAGGCTGAGGGAGGAGACTGACATGAGAATCAACTCAGAGTGAGAAGCTTTGGAGAGTGAGAGCACGGGTCACAGCAAGGAGCCATGACGAGAGAGTGGGGGTGATCTGCTTCAGACTGCCCACAGGTGCGAGTCCAGACTGCCCACAGGTGCGAGTCCAGGCTGCCCACAGGTGTGAGTTCAGACTGCCCACAGGTGCGAGTCCAGACTGCCCACAGGTGCGAGTCCAGGCTGCCCACAGGTGTGAGTTCAGACTGCCCACAGGTGCGAGTCCAGGCTGCCCACAGGTGCGAGTCCAGGCTGCCCACAGGTGCGAGTCCAGGCTGCCCACAGGTGCGAGTTCAGGCTGCCCACAGGTGTGAGTTCAGACTGCCCACAGGTGTGAGTTCAGACTGCCCACAGGTGCGAGTTCAGACTGCCCACAGGTGTGAGTTCAGACTGCCCACAGGTGTGAGTTCAGACTGCCCACAGGTGTGAGTTCAGACTGCCCACAGGTGCGAGTCCAGGCTGCCCACAGGTGCGAGTCCAGGCTGCCCACAGGTGTGAGTTCAGACTGCCCACAGGTGCGAGTCCAGGCTGCCCACAGGTGCGAGTTCAGACTGCCCACAGGTGCGAGTCCAGGCTGCCCACAGGTGTGAGTTCTGACTGTCCACAGGTGCGAGTTCAGACTGCCCACAGGTGCGAGTTCAGACTGCCCACAGGTGTGAGTTCAGACTGCCCACAGGTGTGAGTTCAGACTGCCCACAGGTGTGAGTTCAGACTGCCCACAGGTGTGAGTTCAGACTGCCCACAGGTGTGAGTTCAGACTGCCCACAGGTGTGAGTTCAGGCTGCCCACAGGTGTGAGTTCAGACTGCCCACAGGTGCGAGTCCAGGCTGCCCACAGGTGTGAGTTCAGGCTGCCCACAGGTGTGAGTTCAGACTGCCCACAGGTGTGAGTTCAGACTGCCCACAGGTGCGAGTTCAGGCTGTCCACAGGTGCGAGTTCAGACTGTCTATGGGTACGAAGTGAAGGACAAACATCATTAGGACAGTGATAGAATACAAATGCAGAAGTAAGAGCCAGTGGACTGGGGGTGTAGCTCAATTCTCAAAGTGCTTGCCTGACACTAAGAAAGTCCTGGGTTCAATCCCCAGCACCACAAAATCCAGCGCTCGGGAGGAGGCAGAAGGGTCAGAAGTTCAAAGCCGGTCTGGAATACATGAGACTCTGCCAACAATGGGGAACTGAGGCTGAGATAGAGAGAAAGCTGAACGGAAAAGAGAATCTGGGAGAAGCAATGGGAGAGTGGACAAGGGACAAAAATAAAAATAATCTACCAAATATGAGCTCACAGTAATTATGCAAAGTTTCAGGGGAAAGAAGTGAGTGCATAACACCCATTTCACAGATGAGTACACCGAGGCAGGAGATAACACTGCCCGTCCTATTGGAGTGAACAGCACACATCAGATATGTTCTCCAAGTGGGTTTCAGTCAAAGAGAAGGATGGAAGCCAAAGAACAGACTTCTCCCCCCTCCAGGACACTGGGAGCCTGGGGTGTGTGGGTACCGGAACCAGTTCTCGCACAATGGGCTCAGTCCTGCAGGCCTGGGTAGGGTGGAGGAGTGCTGAAGCGGCCCCTGGGGGCTCAGGATGATGGCGGGGAAGCCACCTCAGCCTTTGGGTATGGACCTGTCACAGACGGACGCTCAGCCACACACAGGAGCTGGCTGAGGGAAGTCACCGCCTGGTCCCAGGCAGATGGAGGGTTTGGGAGGGTTGCTAAGTAACCCCTCCATTGTGGCCTCACCCTCACATTGGCGTTCACCTTCTCCAAGGCAACATGGAAGTTTCCGTTATTAACTACCGGGAAAAGAAAGGGGCGTGGTGGAGAGGACAGGGACCACATGACCCAGGGAGGGTCCTCAGGAACTGTCCCTTCCTCAGGAGCAATGGCACCAGACACACGTCCTTGTGTCCTGGCTGAGGAGGTCAACATGCCTTCCTCGGCCCGGGGCAGGAAAGCCCCGGCTCCGGGCAGCAAGACTCACCCATTGGGGAATCCTGGAAGCCCGGGTTGGAAAAAGTCCCCACGATTTCTTCATCCCAATCTCAAACCATTTCCTGGGTCCAGGACCTAGGTGTCAGCTCAAGAGGTCACCTAAGCGGGCAAAACCTGCAGTGTCTGGGGACCCCCGTCCTCCCCTTCGTCCCCCCCAGGATACCTGTCCGGGGATTGGTGGCCCTGGGTCTCCTCGGGAACATGCCACCCAGACGCTTAGGGCCACCAGTAACAACAGCAGCAGAACAGCAGCCCCACAAGGCCCCCTGTCTGTGAGCGCCCTCCAGGGAACCACCACCTCAGTGTGAGCCTGAGAGCCAGGAGGCCCAGAGGCGGCTAGAAACAGAGTCACAGTGTTCACACGGGTCGCATGCTGGCAGGCCTCACAGGCAGGGGGGGTCCACAGCCCCAGGGCCAGTAGGCAGGACCTTGGAGAATGTGGTCCGTGCATGGCAGGGTCTCCAGAAGGGACAGTGGGGTGTGGTGGCTCACATCTACAATTCCTGAACTTGGGAAATTAAGACAAGAGAAGCAGGAGTTCAAAGACAAATCCCACTACTTAGGAGGTTGAGGCCAGCCTGGATCACATAAGGAACAGGAAGGACTGAAGAAAAGGGGAGGGAGGGAGGGAGGGAGGCAGGGAGGCAGGGAGGCAGGGAGGGAGGCAGGGACGGAGGCAGGGACGGAGGAAAAGGGCGGGTAACATGGCTCAGGACACAAAGGTGCTTGCTGCTCAAGCCTGGGGAAGCAACCTGGGTTCGGTCCCTGGAACCCACACAAAGGAGGAGGGCAAAAACCCCAAATAAATAAATAAAATGTAACCTTTAAAATTAAAACATTTGGCCGGGAGGTGGTGGCGCACGCCTTTAATCCCAGCACTCGGGAGGCAGAGTAGGGCTGCAGACAGTGTTTCCCGCCCTAGGGCAGTGGGCAGGGCTCCTCTGGGAGGAGCATGTAGGTGGTGGGTGTGGCCTTGGAACGTCTCTTAGGCGAGTGGACGTGACCTATTGGATGGGGCGTGACCTCACCAACAGGTTGGACCACTCTGTCTCTGGTTGCAATCGATGGTGCTGTCCACTCTAGGTGTGCGGAGCCTGTTCAGCTCCACTAAGGGAAAGTAGAATTCCTCATGGCCCTTGGGGGCAGTTCTGTGGCAGCTGGGTGGGGAGGAAGACAGAAACAGGGGAGATGACAGAAACAGGGGCCCCATTCTTTCTACTCAGTAACCTGGCTTTAGTGATGTGAAGTTGGGGTAGCGGGGGTCGGGGGTGGGGGGCGGGTGGTACTGGAGCAGGTTTTTCCAAGGTAGCTGCCCTGGGATAGCCCCAGAGATTAGATGGGGCATGTAACCCTGGCCCTCTGGCCTTGCTTACGGGGTGCTAGGGTATGACTGTGTGGTGTGTGTGTGTGTGTGTGTATGTGTGTGTGAGTGTGTGAGTGCGTGTGTGAGTGTGTGAGTGAGTGTGTGTGAGTGTGTGAGTGAGTGTGTGAGTGAGTTGTGTGTGAGTGTGAGTGAGTGTGTGTGAGTGTGTGTGCGCACGAGCACTGGTAAGCCTGATAACCTCTGACCTCCACACATATTCCACACACTCATACTCACGCACTCCACAAATTAAAATAAAAATAGAAAATAAAAAGGGAGTCAGAGACTTGTACAGCCACTTTGGAAATCAGTATGGAGATTCCTCAGGAAAATGGGATTCAATCTACCACAAGACCCAGCAACTCCACTCTTAGGCATATATCCAAAAGATGCCCATTCAAACAACAAGGAGGTCTGCTCCACTATGTTCATAGCAGCATTATCTGTAATAGCTAGATCCTGGAAGCAACCTAGATGTCCCTCACCCGAAGAGTGGATAGAGAAAATGTGGGGCATTTACAGTGGAAAAAAACAATGGAATCTTGAAATTCGCAGGTAAATGGATGGCACTAGAAGAAACCATCCTGAGTGAGGTAACCCAGTCACAAAAAGACAAACATGGTATGTACTCACTCATATATGGATTTTAGATATGAATCAGAGAGTCTAGGAGACAGAACCTTCATCCAGCGACTGATGAAAGCAGAGACAGACACCCACAGATAAACACTGAACTGAACTCCTGGAATCCAGTGTCAGAAAGGGAGAACTGATGGGCAAAGGAGTTAAGACTGGGCTGGTTTAACCCACAGAAACAGTTGACCTGAACAGGGGGAGCTCTTGGACCCCAGATTGATGGCTGTGTGGAAAGCATGGGCCTGACCCAGACCCCCTGAAAGTGGGTGTCAGTGAGGAGGCCTAGGTAGTCTATGGGGCCTTGGGTAGTATTTACCCCTGGCGTACAAATAGACTCTGAGTGCCCACGCCACAATGAGGGATGCTCTCTCAGCCGGGACTCTTGGGGGAGGGCCTAGGCCCTGCCCAGGGTGAAATAACAGTCACTGGAGATCCACCATGGAGGGCCTCACCCTCCTTGGCGATCGGAGTGGAGATTGGGTGGGGGGCTGGGGGCCTGCGCATGAGCCCCCAGAGTAGGTTAGAGAGACAGCGGCGGCCCGGCCCCTCCCTGCAGCCCCGGCTCTCTCCCGTTGTCCTGACAGCTGTCACCGTCTTGCCTGGTGCTCTGGAGCTGGGCCCTCGGTGTCATCCTCACCTTCCCGCGCTTGCTCCTCAGCCGGGGGCTGAACGACAGCTTCCGCGGGGTCTACCGTGGCGCTGCCGCTCCCGGGGGGGCCAAGGGCATCAGAGGGCTGCACACCGCGTCAGCGGCAGCTGGTGGTGACCCTGAGGCGGACGGACACAGAGGATAGAGACGTGCCCACGCGCGTGAGGTCAGCACACTGGCGGTCACCTGAGAAGAGCTCACGTCTGTCCCCAATGTGAGTGGGCCCGTGACAGTGGCTGACAGTGGCTGATCACAGGTTTGCCTGTCACGGGGCCATTCTGCAAGGAGGCCTGCGGTGGGGTTCGTTGTGCTTTCTGCACCGGCTGCGGCAGCAGGGGTGGGGTGGGGAGTGACCTGCTCCAGCCACTGCTGAAGTGGAGGGGTGACTCTGTAAATGTGGGGGCTGCTGGTGTGGGCTCAGCAGTCGTGCGGGGCGTGCGGGTGATGACCGCCCGTCCGTGTGGTGCCGGCACTGCTGGCAGAGACGCATGAGAAGACGCAGCTGGCGTCCCTGTGGCACTCAACTGCCGTGTGGAGCGTGTGGGTGACGGTCGGAGCTGACGGCGCACTGTTCGTCTGTGCAGACTCGGCCCTGCCGTGAGTACGGAGCAGGAGAATGAAGGTGTGACTGGAACACTTGTGTCTCGGCACTTGTGGGGTTCCCGGCATCTCCAGTGTCTGGGAGGGGAGTCACCGTCCTGGAAGTGTCACTGTCCTTCACGGTGGGGTAAAGTGGGATGAAATCCGTGTGTTGCTGACAGGCTGGAAGCTTTGTGGTCCGAGGTGACATCTGTCATGGTGCCCCATGGAAGACTGTCACCCACAGATGACACGGTAAGGCTTGCGCACCTCACTAGGTGACAAGGTTTCAGATATGAGGGTCCCATTGGGTGCTGACGTACCAGAAGCTGTTTTTGCTGTCATCATAGGGACAAAGTCTGCTGTGCCTGTGGGCCATGTGGCTGGTAGCTGCTGATATTGTGGTAGGGATGTCTGGGCCGCGTGCGGATGGCATGTGTGTGTGTGTGTGTGTGTGTGTGTGTGTGTGTGTGTGTGTGTGTGTGGTGTGGGTTGTCACCACAAGACCTGAGGGACTGGAAATTGAGGCCATCCCAGGTGTGGACACTCTAAAGGTGAAGTCAATATCATCAGAAGGTTTGGAGGGCAGAGACAGGGACATACTTGGCAGAGATGCTACAATTGTCAGCTTGATGGTGGGTGGGGACATTACTGCTGATATGGCGGGGTGAAAAGATGCTGTTCTGATGGTCATCTCCGCCCGCCTGCATGAGTGACTGTTTCCTTAGAGCAGAAGCAATCGGTGTGGATTTATTGGTGGAGCCCAGGGACTGGGTCAAGGAAGTTTTGAGAGATTTTTTTTTTGGTTTGGTTTGCAGCAGGAAATGGTTTGCTAATAATGTCTGTGGTTATCATGGCAGGAGTGCCGGGTGGGGCAGTGTTATCAGTTACTGTTGTTAAGGAGGTTTTTGTGGGAATTTGACAAGGAACAGTAGCTGACAGATGAGTAATTCCTGGAGTGAGGGGCAGAATTGCTTGCACTCCTGCCAGGGTGATCATTTCTGTGGTCCCTGTGACAGGAGAGGTCAGGGTATCTTGGGTTGTGTGTGTGACTGAGACAGAAGAAGAAGGTGGGGACATTATTGTGGGTTTGTCCCCCACATCGGTAACGGTGGAAGCAGAGGTCAAGGGTGAGGTCACTCTCCTGATAGAGGTGACCGGTTGTCACTGGCTTGTCAGTCTGGGGGGGGTGGCATGAGAGCTGGTGAGGGGCACGCAGGTCATAGGGGCACGCAGGGGCACACAGGTCGTGGTTACACAGGTGGCGGGGTGGCAGGCGATGGTGGTGAAGCCAGAGGGTGGGTGCACTGGTGGAGGATGTGGAGACCAAGAGGGTAGGAGGACTGCTCTCACCTTGGCGACAAACTTGGACATCGGGGCTGTCGTGGTGTCAGGACTGATTAGAGATCTGAGCAACAATTCACAAAGTTTGTGGTTGTAAAGCAATGGTTGACTTAGAGTTCCTTGGCGTGTGGGCAGTCGCAGGTGTGTGTTCCGGTTGTCAGGGGCTGATAAGGGGGCCGGTGGGGACTGGAAAGACACTAAGGTACACCTCCAGCATCCGAGAGCAATGTGAGCTACTCCCACACCCGCCAAGTGTGAGCTAGAGGTGGCTGTGGCTGTGGACGGAGTTCCCGTGTCGGCAGAACGGAGGAATCCACGGTGAATTCCTAAGTCATCACCGTCACACGCTGTGGGGGATCCACTCCCTCACTCTCCACACCCACGTCACAAAGAACAGGATGTGCATCTCCTACGGGAGGAGACTTGCAGCTGGGCCTTTGGAGTCTGTCTAGGAGGCAGTGGGATGAGGAGCCTCGATTCCTTACTGACTACTGAGTGTCCAAGTTCTTTCCTTCTTCCTTCTTCCCTGTGTGGGGTGTTGTCTGTGTATATGTGTGTGATCTCTGTTACACGTATGTGGTTTGTGCTTGTGGTTTGTAATATGGCTTGTGTATGTGTGTGTGATGGGTATGTGGTTTTTGTGTGTGCTATGTGTGTGTGGTTTGTGTGTGCATGTTATGTGTATGTGCTTTGTGTGTGATGTGTATGTGATTTGTGTGTTATGTGTGTGGTATTTGCATGCAGTTTATGTGTGTTATGTGTATATAGGTTGTATGTTATTTTTATGTATATTAGGTGTATGTGTGTGTGATTTGTATGTGTTGTGTGTGCATTTTGTGTGTGTTGTGTGTGTAATGCGTGTGTCTGTGGTGCATGCGTAGGAGTGTGCAGGCGCGTGTGCATGCATGGGAGTATGCAGGCACGTGTGCATGCGTGTGTGCATGCCTGGGAGTGTGCAGGTGTGTGTGCATGTGTGGGAGTGTGCAGGCGTGT